TGCATAGCCTGCAAGCAGCAAGGGGGCTGGTGGCAGAGCAGCCTCCCCCCCATCTTTCCTGAAAACCCTCTGACATTCGGGTGATTCAGCCACTACAACATAGAGCAGCACGACACGAATACACACTGTGTCTGCACCTATACACACAGACAGAATAGGGTTATTTGAGTTATCTTGTACGTAGATGCACGAACAGCCTTCTGAGATCTGCTGGGAGCCCGTGAGCATGAATGCGGATGTCAGACAGGGTTGTAAAAAAATCTTCCATTTTCTCACCAGGGGTTCTTAAATTAATTTAATTTACCTGAGAGTGACCAGTGGGAAGAGCAGCTCCCTGCAGGGTGTTGGGCTGCATGGGCACATGGCAGGCAGGGCCGCCCGACGTGGCGCTTGCACGTCCTGGACAGAGCTTGGCGCTGCCGGTGGAGCCAGGGTCACACTCTGGGAAGGTGCCAGTTAATGTCACCAGGCCAATGACACCAGGGATGACAATGTGATGGTCACTCACACCGAGCCTCAGGAGCCTCAGGAGCTGTGCTATGCATTGGTGAAACACAGGCTCTAGCCAGCCTGACACAGCAGCAGCGACACAGGCTGATGCTTCTGCTGGCCCTCGTGTCCCCAGGCGTAGCGCAGGTCTGTGGGCCAAACAGGTTTGCACCTATATGACCGTGCTATGTGCCCACTGTCTTTTACAGTGCTCTTTTACACGTGTTTTTGCGTGTGAATGTGTATTCATAGCTTTCGAAGCAGACGGTGTGCAAAGCACGAGGGCCTGGTTTTGCTGAAAGCAAAAGCTGTAGTTCTGTAACACAGTGGGGGAAGCCCGAGTAACTCTGATACCATCTTCTCTTCTTAGAAAGAATGAAAAGGTAAAGGCAACCGCAAGCCTTGGCTGTAACATAGGAAACACTGTGACATTCACTGAACAATTTACATAATGACATACCTACCACCTTTTTATCTGATTGATAGTATTGTCATTTTCATTTATAGACAGATATAAAGCATGTTTTGCCTACATTTTCATTTCTTTCATTATCAGAAAGGCTTTGAGGAAGCCAGTGAAATTCTTCCAAATTTAAATGGTTACAGAAAAAGATGGACTTGTCTTCATTCACTATGAAGATTCTTAGGCCGGAACTGATCTCAACTAAATGCAGCTGTGTAAAATTAGCCACCTAGTCAATGAAGAAGGTTGGGATGGATCATCCATATTAGAAATCTGACTTCTTTGCCCTGTGTAATCAGTGAAGAACTTCATGGATGCTACCAGGACATGTCAAAAAGAGGGCAGATGGGGTGTTCTGTCACACAGAGGACACAAAGGGAGCCTGGGAGGCTGTCAGGACCTGCCAGGCAGAAATGTAGGGTTGGGACGGCCTCCTCCAACAAGCAGTGGTCTCCAGAAAGGACCGTCACCTTCCCCCTCCACTCAAGTCACTCTCTCCAGAAGGGACCGTCACCTTCCCCCTCCACTCAAGTCACTCGAGGGGCGCAGGTGGCCACAGAGGACACTGAGACAGCGGATGGGCTAAGGGGAGAGAAACAGGGAGAAAAGCACAGTGCAAAACAGGTTTCTGAGGTGTCTTAGGATGTTTTGAAAATAAAGGGAGAAAAGGAATATAAGCACTATACCAGGAAATACGATGTTTTTGCAGCTGTTAGAATTGTAAAAATGCATCTTTTTATTACCTCTGCTAACTAGTTGGAGCATTTATTTGCTGATCTTCATGCAATAAGCATGTTTATAACTAGCCTTTCATGTCTAGCATTCTTGCACAAGATAAGAGGGGAAAAAAAAAAAAAAAGCATGTGTTATTTTGGCACTGCCAGTACAGAGATAACAGGGGCTGATGTCAAAGAGAGCAGCACTCACAAGCACCTCTGCAGCACATCAGCCTGGGAACAAGCCCATAAGCCTTGGTACAAAGGCAGGCTGCTTTCTTGGATCCTCTCTGAAAACAGCTCTGCAGACTCTCTCCTCACGTAGCTAGCAGACTCCTTCCCTCCCAGAGGAGTCATAAAATGCAGCTTTATCCATCCTGCATGTGGTAATCAGACAGGCTTAAGAGCTTAAGCATTCATATGGTAGCAATGTTTAAAAAG